ATTGTAGCAGAAATGACCACTGACACTCGCTCCTTTGCAACTTGCACGCCCGTTGCACATAGTGCCACGGTGCCGCGCTCTGGGAAGAGGAGAACCACGAACGAACGCTTCTTTTATTTACCTAACAATCCAGGCGTGTACCTGAAGGTGGACTAAAAGTTAATTCGTGCTCTGTACCTTCACTCGTCTACCACTACATTGGTGGCAGCGGTGCGTGAACTCGTCCCTTGACTATTTATGGAACGCCAGTCTCGTTTTTAGTACCCACTACATTGGTGGCTGTGGTCTACCTAGTCAGTCATCAAGTTATGGCTCAACTTGCTGCTGCTCCCACAGCTGCTGCACCTGCCGTTGCTGCTCCTGCTCCTACATTGTACGTGAAGTGTGTGGGTAACAGTGAGGTCTGCATCCCACCCACCGGTGTCGATTAACACAAAGTGTGAGGAACGAAGTCTGAAGAAAATGTTGACGGACTCTGCTGCGATGACGACTACACCATAGCTCAGTGGCTACAGCATCGCTGGCTACAAGCGAGGATCCCTGGTTCGAGTCCTGGTGGTGACAGTCAAATTTTTCTTCAGACTGTCTCCGTTTGTGTCTTTCACTCAAATTATGGAATTTTGTATACTTCCTCCGCTAAGCAAAACTTCGTTTTTAGTGTTTTTAGTGTTTTTGTCATGATACTTGTCATGATAGTTTTATTTGCAGTAGCTGGGAAGCTGGGAAACTAGTATCTGCTGTGACCACCATTATTTGCAATGACTTCCTGCAGACGGTTTGGCATGAATGTTGCTAAACCCGCCACATTGGCAGATCCGAGCCTTGTGCAGCTTATCTGCAGTTTGGCAGTTGTGTGCCGCCAGTCATCGTTTCAGCAAGCTCCAAATGTTCTCGATCGGGTTTAGGTCTGTACGAACACGGCACCATATTGTCGAAGTCGGATTTCCGCGACGGCCTAGCTTTGCGGTATGGTCTAGCGCTGCATGATTTGCCGACGTCATGTATCTGCCGTGGGAGTCCCGATTTTACGGTGGATCATGCGATGACCTGCCCTGCCGGGGGGTATCCCACGACTCGTCACAACGAGATCCGGGATTTGCTCTCGGAGCTTCTATCTGTCGTCGTCCCGGACGTTGAACGGGAACCAGTCCTCCTGTCCCTGGATGGCAAGGATGTCAGTGGATCTCATGCCGACCAAGCGAGAGTGGACATCCGAGCTCTTGGCTTTTGGACACGGCAGCAGAGCGCGTTTTTCGATGTAAGGGTGACCCACCCCAAAGCGTCTCTGCGGTCGTGTGCAGAAGTCAAGAGCCAACTAGCCCACAACGAACGGGCCAAGAGGCGGCAGTACGGGGAGCGCATCACACAAGTTGACCGTGGATCATTCACTCCGCTTGTGTTTGGAACGAATGGCCAGGCGGCTGTGGAGTGTGAGGTCTTCCTGAAGACGTTGGCAAGTCGTGTCGCAGAGAAGTGCAGAGACATTAGCTATGCCGTTGCCATCTCAACAATCAGGGCGAAGATCGGCATGTGTCTGCTCAGGTGGCAGATCACGTGTCTCCGGGGATCCCGTACATCCTACCGGCGAAGGGCTGCTGCTCTCCTTGCGGAGATGCGGGCTGCTGCTCGCTTCTGAGCCCTTGGTTTCAGTTAGCTCATGGTATTGTATCTACTTTTTAGTGTTGCCTTGTCCGTATGTCGGTTGCTGTCAATTAATCTGTCAATGGGAACTTTTTAGTTTCAACAGTACTGTGATGTGTTGCTGGAGTAGGTTGCATTACCGGCAGTGTCCTGCCTTTTTACCGGAAGTGTCCTGTCTTTTTCTTATAATTTAGATGCAATTTTGCGCTATTGGGTTATTTCTTTAAACTTTGCGGTTATTTCTTTGTGTTTCTTCTTTTGCGCCGAGTTTATTAGTTTTTTCTCTTTTTATTTTTTATTTTTACATGAAGTGTCCCATATTTATATGAAAGGATGTATCACATGTTGTTGGCCCGTACAAGAGGCATTCCCACTGTAGTAGTAGTAGTAGTAGTAGTAGTAGTAGTAGTAGTAGTAGTAGTAGTAGTAGTAGTAGTAGTAGTAGTAGTAGTAGTAGTAGTAGTAGTAGTAGTAGTAGTAGTAGTAGTAGTAGTAGTAGTAGTAGTAGTAGTAGTAGTAGTAGTAGTAGTAGTAGTAGTAGTAGTAGTAGTAGTAGTAGTAGTAGTAGTAGTAGTAGTAGTAGTAGTAGTAGTAGTAGTAGTAGTAGTGGTAGTGGTCGTGGTGGTGGTGGTGGTGGTGGCGGCGGTGGTGGTGGTGGTGGTGGTGGTGGTGGTGGTGGTGGTGGTGGTGGTGGTGGTGGTGGTGGTGGTGGTGGTGGTGGTGGTGGTGGTGGTGGTGGTGGTGGTGGTGGTGGTGGTGGTGGTGGTGGTGGTGGTGGTGGTGGTGGTGGTGGTGGTGGTGGTGGTGGTGGTGGTGGTGGTGGTGGTGGTGGTGGTGGTGGTGGTGGTGGTGGTGGTGGTGGTGGTGGTGGTGGTGGTGGTGGTGGTGGTGGTGGTGGTGGTGGTGGTGGTGGTGGTGGTGGTGGTGGTGGTGGTGGTGGTGGTGGTGGTGGTGGTGGTGGTGGTGGTGGTGGTGGTGGTGGTGGTGGTGGTGGTGGTGGTGGTGGTGGTGGTGGTGGTGGTGGTGGTGGTGGTGGTGGTGGTGGTGGTGGTGGTGGTGGTGGTGGTGGTGGTGGTGGTGGTGGTGGTGGTGGTGGTGGTGGTGGTGGTGGTGGTGGTGGTGGTGGTGGTGGTGGTGGTGGTGGTGGTGGTGGTGGTGGTGGTGGTGGTGGTGGTGGTGGTGGTGGTGGTGGTGGTGGTGGTGGTGGTGGTGGTGGTGGTGGTGGTGGTGGTGGTGGTGGTGGTGGTGGTGGTGGTGGTGGTGGTGGTGGTGGTGGTGGTGGTGGTGGTGGTGGTGGTGGTGGTGGTGGTGGTGGTGGTGGTGGTGGTGGTGGTGGTGGTGGTGGTGGTGGTGGTGGTGGTGGTGGTGGTGGTGGTGGTGGTGGTGGTGGTGGTGGTGGTGGTGGTGGTGGTGGTGGTGGTGGTGGTGGTGGTGGTGGTGGTGGTGGTGGTGGTGGTGGTGGTGGTGGTGGTGGTGGTGGTGGTGGTGGTGGTGGTGGTGGTGGTGGTGGTGGTGGTGGTGGTGGTGGTGGTGGTGGTGGTGGTGGTGGTGGTGGTGGTGGTGGTGGTGGTGGTGGTGGTGGTGGTGGTGGTGGTGGTGGTGGTGGTGGTGGTGGTGGTGGTGGTGGTGGTGGTGGTGGTGGTGGTGGTGGTGGTGGTGGTGGTGGTGGTGGTGGTGGTGGTGGTGGTGGTGGTGGTGGTGGTGGTGGTGGTGGTGGTGGTGGTGGTGGTGGTGGTGGTGGTGGTGGTGGTGGTGGTGGTGGTGGTGGTGGTGGTGGTGGTGGTGGTGG